GGAAGATGGGAAGGTGGAACATCTATAAATGAATTGATTTATAATAAACTCAGATTAAACTGCGCAGAACAAAGGAAAAAGTGCCTAAAAATGACTTAGCTCCGAGAAGCATCAGTTACCTTGGCCAACAATAACTGCACCTTCTTTGTGAGTTCCCTCATTACATCTATAATCAAACATTTCTTCTGAATCCTGAACTGGATGGCCAGCTCAGTTGAAGCTGAAACACCCTTTCCCAATTGTGACTCATCATCCATTATCTTTGTTGGGAAGTGTTGCAGTGCTATTACACATAAAGCAATAACAGTGCGGAGGGATGCTATTTCATTACCAATTCCAAGAGGAGCTTCTGCTGATAAGGATTTAAGTGCATCCAAATCGCACATCTTCGCTGTTTCCATATTGCTTGATAGTAGCACTCTCAAGGCAGCCAACAGGCGTCCATCTACCAAATCTGGACCTCCTATGCTTACCTGTCAGTATAAAACAAAATGGAATTCAGTGTTTAAAGAAGGGCTGGTCTAAAAGTAACCTTTCAGGATTCTTGTGCGTGGAACAAGAGTAATTTTCGTCAAGGTGTCTTTGTCAAACATAGAGTCTTACAGTAGAGACTCAGTCCAATAAGATTTTTGTCCATAGAATACTTAAAGAAGACAACTTGTATCCAAAATTTCAAAACAGAAGCAAAGATATGAAACTTTTATTTTTTTCTTAGCCAGAAGAAAGGAAACTAGTAGCCTATTTGGTTGAAGGGAAAGGGAGAGGAGGGGAGGGGGCTATATTTCAACCAATTAAATTAAGTCGTTGGACCAACAAAATAATTTAATTGGTTATAATAATTTTCCCTCCCCTGCCCTCAAACCAAACAAGATTTAAATGAAACAGCCAAATTTCATCAAAAAAAGGAAAAAATTTAAACAGCCAAATGGGTCCAAGATTGCCAAATTAATAAGAGTTTAACAGGTATTGCAACGAAAGATGAAATTATGACATATAATTACATTGTCTATAAAATTTTAGGTAATTTATTTCAACTAAAATGTAGAACTAATTTCATTCAAACTGAAAGTATAAGGCGAGATTTATGTCAAAAAAAGTACAGTGGTTCATTTTGATAATCACCGAAACCAAAAGGGTAAATATAACCTTTTTGCCATCTTTGCAACGTGTCATTTTTATATAAGTGCAAGCAACTACGCAAGTGATATAAATAAGTAGAAAAGGCAAATTACAGATATAATATATAAATAAGTAGAAAAGGCAAACTACAAATATAATTAAAAGGTTAATTGGCAGGGGATTTTTTCAAGAAAAAGAAAAAAATACATGCAACCATACTAAAGTAATAAATAATCCAAAGGGTAACAAATTTTGGTAGTTGGTTTTAGGTATATTATTATATTCCATTAGTGATAACTTGCACTTGGAAGAAAAACACATGAAGTTTTGAGATGTATTTTATTTTAAGCTAGAAGGTCATAAGGTTAAACAATCACCAAGCTGCATAAAACTTGAAAAATATTGTGTTTTGAAGTTGGAAGCAAACTAAAAAGTTCACATAACTTACACACCTTGAGCTTAATATTTAAGAAAGAAATAGCTTATGCACCTCAATCTAAACTTTTATGATAGAAAACAATGCTAAAAATGATATTAGGTCCATTTATCTTAATGAAAACTATTATTAGTTAAGTGCAACCTAATTTGTTGAAAGCAGTCTGAATGGTAACTTATGGTGAAAATTAACATAAGTAATAACCTTGAGATTTGGAGCTTCCCCATCTAAGTTCAACTCAGAAAGAATTTGTTGCTGCCATGGAGCTGGTGAAGCAAAGTTGGGTGAAGAAATTCCAGCAGCCATGCTTGCAGCATCAATAAGAGCTCCATCATATTTGAGCTCAATACAGTCATAGGGATTTGATGGTATAACAAATCCATAATCCAACAGGAGAAGGTCATTGCTTAGACAGCCATAATTAAGATTCAGAGGATCATTTTGTTTGATTACCCTTTCTGCCACAACCTGATTTGAGACACAGAGTGAGTCAAAGTGTTTGGTATTTTAGCTTCTTATCAAATTAAACAAGAGAAGCAATGTGAATCTATAAAGAACTACCTTTATTAGCATTTTTGCATTGACCTTATCCTGTTCTTGCACAATTTTAGCATTAGGATTGAAGCTATGGTTGCACATGTCAATTAGAGGAAGCATCATTACTACATTACTGTAAGCTTCATCTGGAAGCTTCTTCCCATACAGGCGAAATGCTCTAGATGATACTGCTGACATTGCCCATCCAAGGGCAGATGCATCTACATCTTTGCCACCAAAAGGGTGGTCACTTGGTTTAAGATCTTTAACAGCATGCTTAACATTTTGCTCAAACTCCAGAAGAAAACGACATCTTTTGTTCACCTGGTTGGGGAAACGTAACGCAAATTAAATTCAAAGCTAGCCACAGATGTGAACTCAATTTTAAAGACAAACAAGTAGAGGCATCCTCTTAAATTGTCCCATGAAATGCTAACATTGAGCATTAGAACCATGTTGCCAACTTTTTAGTGTAGATGAAGAATTTAAATTTCTGGTAAGTATAAAAGTGTACCTGGTAAAGAAGAGGAGCATACTGCAAGTTTTTTATATCCTCTCCAGCAAAGAAGATTGGCACACTATAAGTTTCGGGAAGATTGCTGATGTATGGCCACCAAAAGGATCCAACTTTTGCTCTTTCAAACAGAAGCTTCAGACCTAATCTCATTGCCCACAGTTCCTCTGCCAAATGCTCATACAGTGTCCAGTTTACTCATTTTCCAAACTTCAAACAGTTTAATTTACAAAACTTTAAGTTACCAGTGTATATTAACAGACAAAATTTACATGTAGATAGGAGCAGGGTTTTATGTTATTGGAATATTGATACCTTTCCTTTTACAAAAGAACTAAATGCTTGAATATAATTAGTATCTTAACATAAAATTATAAGGGAAAGGAAATTCACCAAAGATGATTTAAGTAAACCAGCCATAACCACAATTAGCCACATGATACTATATACATTGGATATTAGAAAACTATAAATATATGCATGGGCATTTCTGACTACAAAGGCATCCAACCTAAAACTAATTGACATAAGGGTGAGTCATCTTGAATGCAAGGTGATAACTACCCCCAAAAAGAATAAGATTGGATAATTTAGCAATTTTTCATTCTCCTTCACATGTACTGATACAAACAAATCCATGATGTGAACTACTAAAAGGGGGCAACAAATTACAAAATTAGCAAAACAATCTGGCTAATGTTTGTAATTTTAAAAGTCAATGAACCTCAAAGTTTAACTTTAAACAAAAATAACATAATACCAAGGAGACTGAAAGGTTAGGGGGTATGGTGGGCTTAGTGGTTTAGAGGTTGTTTAGGTGTTGAAAGAGGGCAAACATAGGAAAAGATGGAAAAAGATAATGAACATGAACCCTTGGAGTCACACCTAGGTTTCTTTAGGCATCACACCAAAAGAGGATAGAAACCCTTAATCATCACACCTAAGGCTGGTTGCATCACACAATCTCAAAGCATAACATGCTGAAAATTTCTCAATGTTATTGGCTAAAATTGAATAATGAAAGAAGTTACAAGCATATTTATAATCCTAAGATTCCTACACTAACAAGAAATAGAATTCCTCTTCTAACAGGAATAAGACTCTCAATAAAATAAAAATACTTAAATACTTAAATAATATCATTATCATTATCGTTATCGTTATCTTTATCATTATCATTATGACAAATTGAAGAGGTTCATAACAAACTTAAGATCCCAACCTAATTAAAGTTTTGAGACTAACGGTGTTTAAATTCCATTCATAAAAGAATTATTAGCCAGAGTTCATTCTATGGAGTATGTACTAAAAAAATTAAATTACCAGAATATGCAACACTATACACTACACCAGCTTTAGTGGACAAAATGAGAAAATGTAGGCCAAATTCTCAAAGCCACATACATGAACTGCCGAGTTAAAACTCACTTAGAGACTATTCCTTTTGACAAGCAAAAAATTTAAAACTCATCAGCATTTACAATAAAAGTAAAACCCACAACTTACACAACAAAAACGACAACCAGCTGAGTGTCTCGCAGCCAAATTATATCCAAAGCCAAAGCTTTATAAGAAAAGCAGCTAATATACAAAAGATTAGGTGGACAAATTACAATCAAACCAGATACACTGCCATTCAAACCAGATACACTGCCATTAAAACCACAGCACATAAGCTGTTAGAAAAAAAAAAAAAAAAAAAAAACCACAGTACATAAAACACCATCCACTAATCATCCAAAAGACAGAATGAAAGCAGACAGAAACTAAATAAATTCAACTCGAAACCCGAAATGCAACAAAAGAAACCAAATAAAGACACATAATTTAGCTCAAAAACCAGAAGCCCATACCAGGAACTTGGCGAGCCAAATCGAGCAAGACAGGGTGATCCCCATCTCCAAAGTTCTTCAGGGGAACATGCTCAGGGATGATAATAAGGTCAGAGCCTTGGGGAATTTCTGCAGTGGCCACGAGTCCGAGACCGTATGTGGCATCCTGTGATATCTTTACCGCCTTGTGCACGAATCCCCCTTGGTTCTTGACCCAACTCACCAGGTCCGGTGGGTGCTGGAGTAGGCGAGCTGGAAAGGTGGATGCGGCGCTCGTTAACGAGCGGTAGTGGCTGAGAGAGGGGATAAGCAATTTTGAAGCAGCCATGAAGAAAGCTTTGTTTCCACTTCACTCCTCATAGGTGGTGCGTGTTGGTTTGGAAGCATAGTAGTCGGAAAAACCTTTCGATTAGGCAAAATTTTATGTTAAGCCCCCATATTTCACATTTTTTATTAAACCCTTAAACTTGTTAATATTGACAATTTAACTCTCTTTCTTACTGTAAATTTAATGTTGGTTTGTATTTTACCAGTGTAGACAAAATTAATACTTGTTATATAGGTAATAACATATTAATATCTTGTCCACATAAATAATGTACAAATGAATGTTACGTTTGTTGTAAAAAATATGAATTAAATTACTTAAATAGTCAAGTTTAGGGGCTTATTTATTTTAATAAAATTTAAAAACTTAATTGAGAATTTAAAATAATTTTAAGAATTTAATATAGGATTTTTCCTTTATTATGTTTTTTCGGCTATCAATCAAATTTTTACTTCTTATAAACACTTCAAAGGTATTTGGTTTGGAGTTTTGTTAAGAAATATTATCTGCTAGTTTTAATAGAATGAATTGAATACATTTAATTATAAACAATAACAATTATCAATAATTAAATATCAATTACATTTGAACAATAAATCCATATGCCCACTTAATCCTATTGGAAGCCCTTAAACTTTTAGTCTTTAAAGCCTTTAGCCCTCCAAGTTATAATGTCTTTTGACCAAACTCTACCTCCTTAAACATTGTTTTTGGGCATGCGGAAAATTAGGGCGTCCTGGTGTTAAAAGTGTGAGGACGCCCAATCATGACCTTATATTAAGTGGGGCACAATCAAGGGCTCACTTGATCGGACATCCTGGCATTTAACATCTTGATTTTTACTTTTCTGTTTTTTTTTTTTTAACCAAAATTTATATATTATTACCTCAAGCCCGTACGCATCCAAAACATGATCCGAACAAAACTCATTCTAATAAAACCCATGAAGCATATTCTGTAATGTCTCCGTACAGGCCCAATTCACCTCTATTTGCCTTGAACCCAAAATTCATTAATCTCAAGTCCATTTCTAAATAAACGAAATTGGACTTCACAGGTCCAAATATTCAAACCCATCAAAATCACCATCGTTTTCATGTGGCATCACAAAAAATATTCTTAAAACAAGCACCATCACACTAGATCACAGCCAATTAATTTTCAATTATTTCGGGAAAAATCATGGCCACTCAATCTCCATCATGGACACGTTGTATCATCTCAAAATTTGCTAATTATGGTGAAAAAGTTCTGATTGATAGAATTAAAGCAAAACAGGTTTGGGTTCACGGTTCCACAGATTACCATGGTCTTAAATTTTAATCCAACCTAGGACCAAACTGATTGGGTCCGGGAAACTCTATTCCAAAGTGGAACCAAGTCCATAGACCTATGCAATCGTTATGGATTGACTTAGTTTAGTTGGATTGGTTCCCAAATTATCCGGAACTTCTTGTTTTTTAAACATGAATAGTTAGTTGCTTGGTATAGTAATTTCTCGGACTCAACTAGCACAACTATGGAAGAGAGTTCAACTAATCTAAACTCAAAGAAAATCATTAACAAAGTCACATATTGAGACAGCATAGTAATAAAGGTCAATAACACAGACCAAATCCTAGATAAAGGACAAAAACATTCCACACAACACAGTTAGTCATGATGAGTTTCTGTATCAGTAATTGAGCAGACTGACAATTGCATAATCTACAAAGATGCTAAAATATTTCATATTTTGCGAGGACAAGTTCTGGATACCATACTAATCAAACTGCTGTCTGAGTTGCATCTCTGTTTCACTTTTCCAGGTTGCATGAGATGACTGGCCCCTCATTCTCTTTACCTTTTCTTTGTCTTTGATGGTAGACCCCTTCTTCTTCGACTCAGAGTTGTCAGCAGGCGGGCGATCACCACATATGGGGCAGACAATTCCTCTAGCACTGGAGTAGGTCTTTGGTACTCCACATTGAAGACACATCCTGTGAAGGTAATATGTTTAGTTTGCTGATACAAATAAAAGGGAGACATTTACAAGAAGCTTTCTCAAAGCTTGCTTAAAAGCTACTTTAAAAGCCAATTTTGGAATTTCCCTCCAACAGTTTTTCAAATTTATGTGAAAATTTTGCTTTTAAAGCAAGTTGTTTTTAATCTTTGCCAAACACCATCCTAGTCTAGAAGACAGCACACCAATGAATAGATTTGCATAAACCACAACACATGGAAAAAGGAGGTTGATCATTGGCCAAATAATCAACATGAAAAATTCTCATCACCTATAAGCAAACCACCATCTACTGGTTTTTCTGATCTTCTGCTTATTTGCAGTAGCTGAATGTAAATGGAAAGGAAATAACAGTTGTATTGGCTGGGTGAGGGGTACGTACCTCAGAAGCTCTGCTGCATCTTCGGCATTGGGATTTGTTGCAGATGCTACACGCTTATCTTGGGTGGTGCTAGAAACTGATGTTGGAGGCTTGCTGTCCCCAATATCACTTCTTACCCGCTCATGAATGCCAACTAGTTGTGCTTTTGACTCTACCACAGCTCCTATAAACAAAATCACAAAACTGGATGAATAACTTTCTGCTGAAAATTAAGTTAATACAGAGATAGTAATTTGCTTTTTCAATTGGCAAAATACAGAGAAAGGTTGGAATCTGTTATTCAAACAAAAAATACAGGTAAGGAAAATCTCAAATTAAGAGTACAATGAGGCATGGAAATGAACTGAAACTTCATTATTTTAACTTCACCTTTTTTCTGCACAATTTGCTTCAATGAAAACTTAGTTACATTACCATTAAAATAAAAAACATGTTACAAAATTACTAACCATATCACTGCACTGAAGCTTGACTATATGATTATCAATAAGTCTATAAGATTATCAAAAATTCTATTTTAAAACTCTCTCTTACCATATCCCCCAGTTCCCAGAGGTTGAAACCAACACCTAATCCCAATATCCACAAGCTAGATAATTACTTTTAGTAGAGTAAAAATGAAAGATCAGAACATTTTAGTCCACTGCCGGTATATCTTTTGCTGCTAACATTTTTATTAACATAAACACCCCAACAGATGATCAACGAAATGTGAGAAGGGTGTCAGGAACCATCTTATAATGAAGTCCATTCACCTGTTCTGATTAAGATCACACGATTGTTCGACAAAGATTACTATAGGCTCAAAGAATAATCTCAGCAATGCAAATTTGCCAATTGAAAGAACAGAGCCCATTGTCCAAAGAACATTGACCTTGAATACATCTTCAGTAGATTTGTTCCATATGAATTATCCCTGACGAGTCTTTCCCATTGCAGGAATGTGATACATTTGTTTGCCGCAGAATTAGAATAATGCTCTAGGATTGTAAGTTAAGTTTTCCAAAAAGCTAACTCCTGACTCCCATCTGAGTCCAAGCATTAACCCTCATGTAATTCTTTCGTCAAACTAATCAACCACCATAAGTATCATGAATTATCCATTCAGCAGGTAATGCCAGTATTCGTCTCTCAAACTTCAGTTGGCTGTGTATCATACCAAATTACTATAAAGTCATCAATTCTTTTGTTTAAGTAATAAAAAATCCATTCAATCATCACCTTGAAGATATTGTCTAAATCAAATAAAATGTAGAATATAACTAAACTAAGTACCATAGAAATTTAGCCATTTAAGATATTTTACAAATTACTTACTTGAGGTTCAACGTTGGGATTTAAAAACAGAAAATGAGTGAGGATTACCAATTACATGAATACTCAGGAGGCCTCAAAACAAGTCAAGAGAAAAGATTAATAAAAGTTTCCATGGTTTACCTTAGACAGCCTATACCATCAGCTTGATCATTACGTTTTCACAAACTGTCCTCAAATAATTCTAAGGTAAAATCATAATACTAATGCATGCCCACATACCTTATTTCTTATTAATACCTACCTACATTACCTTATTTCTTAAAAAAAAAAAATTGGGAAGAGTCTTCACTAACTAGCAACACACCAATGGAAACAAGGAGAAACCTTTTCCTCCATATGAATTAGCAAAGAAAGAGAGCAAGATGAGAGAGTGCAATGCTTATATTTACCAGCAGGTAAATCTTTCTTATTGGGAGGATCCCTCCGGCCACCTTGTCTCCCTCCATCCACAGGTCTGGATGGCTGTTCTTCTACACTATTGTTTAGAAACTCCGGAGGCCCTGAAATCTCCAAAAACCCACAAGAAAACGGAATACCAGAAGAATCAGATCAACCCTAAATTAGCAATAAAAATCCATAATAACCAATTTACAATTGAAAATTATGCTCAATAAAAATGTCTTACCCAAATTTTCATTTATATATACACATAAAGAAATCCTGAATTTCTTTGGAAATTTTTTATCTTTACCTGATTTAAGCAATTAGTTTCGTTTTCTTCGATTACAACCAACTAGATATTAACAAAACGAGAACATAAATCTAAAGAAGAAAAAGGAGAAGGGATTTACTTGGGAGAAGGCTTCGAATGCGGAAGGAAGGCCAGAATTATTATTTTGGTGCGAAGGATTGGAGAACTTGAATACTGAAGAATCGTAACGCTTGACTGCGGCGGAAGGCTCGATCTCCTCGTCGTCGTCGGAAGAGTGCTGGTGATGAACTTGGTTGTCTTCAACTTCTGTTTCTTCTTCTTCTTCTTCCGCGGAAGAATAGCCCTGCAAGAGCGACAAGCTCATCTCCTTGCTCTCCTCTCTCCGCTGACTTCTGAAGCTGAGAATTTTTTGAGAAACCGACGGTGACGAGTAGCGTCGGCGTGGCAATTTAGAACCCGACCCGTGTAAACGGGTTAAGGTCTACTCCTCCCTATTGTGACCCGTTAACAACTCATTGAGTTAGACTTGAATGGGTCACAAGCGGGCTGTTAACGAGTTAACGAGTAGCGTGCCAATGCAGCTCATGAGTAAAGTTCTAGTACAAATTTCGAAGGTTATATCCCCGATTCAGTCACTCAACTTTCATTTTTGGACTAAAACTACCCTCAAACTTCAAAAAGTACTAAAAAAATCCTTAAACTTCAATTTTTGGGACCAATTTTGTCCTTCTGTCAGTTAATTGCTGACGTGGCAAAATTTTCGGTTAACAAATTCAATTTTTATTAATATTAAATATTACTTGAAAATAAAATGAGTAATGTGATATTTTTAATTATAAAACTATTGTGATTTGGCACAAAAATATAATTTAATAAATAAAAATTTCTTTTCTTTCTTTTTTTTCTTTCCTTTTTTTTTTTTCTCTCCTTCTCTTTCCTTTTCTCCTTCCCCTCCCTACTAGGTTCGAAGGAACCCAGCACCAGCGCCTGGGTTCCTCGAACCCAGGCGTGGGTCGAGGAACCCAAGACGCCGGGTTCGAGGAACCCAGGCCTGGGTTCCTTCGAACCCAGCACGCCTGGGTTCGATGGAACCCAGGCGCGGGTTCCTCAAACCCAGGCGTTGGGTTCCGAACCCAGAGCCTGGGTTTGAGTCGAACCCGCCTGGGTTTTTTTGTTGTGTTTCTTTGTTGGCTTGCAATCATGCTTGAATGGGATTTAGAGTTTTTTGTTGCTTCTGATTGCTTGAATTTCCAGATCTAGTTACTGTCGATGTTGATTGAAGGAATGTTGTGTTTTCTTTACAGATTTGATATACATTTGTAGAGGAATTGATTTTTTGAATCAGATCTATTGGTCATTATTATTATTGTGCGAGGAACCAGATTTGAGTTCTATTAGAGAGGAGGTTTGGGGAAGAAGTAGATGGTGATTGGAGTGGTAATAGATGATCGGAGCAATGAGGGATGACCGGAGTAA